TAGTTATTCTACATTTTAAATTGAAACTTTAATTTATCGTTCTTAGGACTAGCAGGTTATTTGTATAAGACTGTTTTACGTTGATTAAAAAATAAGGCAATCGATGCATTCGATAACAATCCTCTTTCGTAATTCACGTATATATTATCTCATGATTATAATCAAAACATTATCGATTCCAGTTATATCGGCTTCGAAGATATACTCATTCAGATATAAAAACATCCGTTTTGAAAACAATCTTATTTATGAAAGTATGAGTATACAACTCTTCAGAGTGAATGATCTATGAATCATATACCTTTCGCTGAAAACGATGAAACATAACGTCGTCATAGAAGCGTTCCAGTTGTGAATGTGAAGTACATCCTTACGTATTGTGACACAATATATAGTGGACATAGGAATTATTTCCATGGGTATTACAACTGCACTATACAAAATATATCATACCCGAGAATTTTGTCGTGCTTAGATTTTATTAATGTTGTGTTAAAACATGTAATACCTCTGTTTGTTTGATTTTATTTTATCATGACATAACCTAACAAAACGAACATAGAACATAGTGAATTTATTTAACTTTTTTCGATTAATTAATTATTTAGTATTTTAGATGTAGACAAATCTAACAAAACATGCAAAAATCATAAAAAGGACGATCCAGTCATATAAATTGTGTGCCTAATTCAAACTTTATGTTATAGACATAGTAAAGCTTCGACATGAACAATATCAATGAAAACCGCGCACAATATTACATGCAGCATAAAATTTGGAATAAAACTTACTGGAATCATGAAATTCATTCTTTTACAGCGTACTTAAAGCAGTATTTATTGTTTCATATGAAAAATATTTCGAAACTAACGTATTTATTTGTACAATGGTCAGAGATTGTTAAAAGTCGACAGTAAGGATATTATTAGTTTTATGATGAATTAGCTTTCAGTCAGCAGCTTCGCGCGCGTGGTCATGTATTATACAGAATCACTCAGTATGTTGACGAAAACCTCATTAAAATCCATTGTGTACACAAGATCTCAGCGTACATACAGCGGAAAGAAACTTTGTTTTATACTATATATTTTTTTAATTGATTTTTTATAGTGTTTAGATTTACTACATATCAAACAATTAATAACATTAATAATTACCCAACGTATTCATTATTTCTATTTAAAAGGCATTCATTCAGCTCATATTCTGAATATAAACTTTAAACGTGTCAAATTTCGTACTCCCCTGTCTACGTATTTTCGTGAATAGATGGCCAAAGCTTACTCAAATATTAATATAATAACTATGGACATATTTTTTTACGAATGAAACATAATATTATTTTTAATTACAAAAATATATTAGACCGTTTATATAAAATTTTATATCTATACTAATATTATAAAGCTGAAGAGTTTGTTAGTTTGTTTGAACGCACTAATCTCAGGAACTACTGGTTCGAATTGAAAAATTATTTTTGTGTTCAATAGACCATTTATCGAGGAAGGCTTTAGACTATATAACATCACGATGCAACTATTAGGATCGAAGAAATAATGGAAAACGCAGACGAAGTCGCTGGCGGCCACTAGTCATATATAAGTCTTTTAAGAAATTAAATATATTAGTATATATCTTTTTTATATTCACGTACTACTTTTCTTAGAATATACAGCAGCCCTACGCATTATCGTTAGTAACTAGTAATTCCCAATCGTAAACCTGTCATTGTTTTTTTGGTTGGCTATAAATATTTCTTTTAAATATCTTATGTTAAATTCAATTTATAATTTTTACAAAGAAATTGTTATAAACAGTATATGTATAAAATACATACCAATGTATATATCAACCTTATTTAATAATCCACATAAATATTGCCTCTCCATCATGATTAGTGTATATTCTCAGTAATATGGCTTTTAACCGCATTCCCTTACAAATATTTAATTTACAATGCGATTACCAAAATCATTAGCCAATGATAAGCGAATAAACCCAATGGTTAATTGACTGTATGAATGCAATTTCTATCAGCTATAACGCACTAGTTTGTGCTATTTATGTCTATTTTATGTTCATTATTATGTATGTTATTTTCTTATTATATATTATTACTAATAATAAAAGAGGGGGTGATTTAATTACCGATTTTTCAATTCTTTCACCTACTGAAAGCTACAAACACGGGTAACATAAGGTATGATTTCGCGAGAAAATCATATAGCTTATTAATAGGCATATTGTATGGCTAAAACAAAAAAACAATCATACTTTTTTCTCTCTTTTTTCTGCAAAATTATTATTTTTATTCGTTTCGTTCATAATTTATACATATAAGTTATATCCTTATACCAAACTTGATACGTTTCATATTTATAATTAATAAGTGCCATCTTGTTCTCCCTTTCTTGTTTATACCACCAGTAACTGGTTTCCCAATCAATTACGATTACGAAATGAAATTTCAACTTATCCACATACGAGGAATTGGATACAAGATTGTAACTGTTATTACCAAAACTTATTAGATTTTCAGAAAACTTATAACCAAAACTTAATAAAATGGATTTAAATTGAAATAAGAAAATGTCGTTGTAAAATATGTAAAAAAACATAATTTACAACGACATTAAGCCGAGAGCGGGTCGGATTCGCGCACCGAAGGTTTTGTCAAAGTTTGTACTAGTATGTACAAAGATCGTTTTCAAAATAGTAGTGTTTAAATTAGTTTCTGTATTCATGCCATGTATTTATGTTAAATTCCATGGTCAAAGAATTAAGTTTATACTTTATTCGAAATTTTGAAACTGGGAGAGAAGATAAAAAGCTGCGCCTATCTATCTCATTACGGCAATGGGATATATAGGGAAGAGGATAGCAAATAATAATTATTTGTAAAATCCATTTTAATTAATTACACGCAAAATATTACTATTATTATAAAAGTGTTTCATAAAGCACTCAACTGCAACGTGACTCATCAATTTCTCAATATTAAATAGGGAAATAGATCCCTATAAAAAATTAATATATCCTGTTTTTACTTTTGACCTCATCGGCCAGTAGTTTCAGGGAAATGTGTGCAGTTATGACAGACAAACAACATACAGAAGAGTTCTGACGAGTGTTTAAAATCTCTTTGGGTTATGCCAGAGTTTTCCTATATAGAAATTTCCATGATTTTCGTTTTGCCATACAGAAAATACCAAAAAGTTTGAAACACACTATGAGAATTTTCAAATACACTCAAAACTTTCAAAAGACAAAAAAGTAAATAGGTATGTATCCTTTTTGTGTGTTTATTTGTTGCACACAGAAATGTAAGATTATCAGTCACCTATGACGGATAAGATTTATTTATTTATATAAAACACGTACGATTTATTGATCCTTATGAACGTCAAGTGCTAATTTTTCTCGTAAATGTCAAACATAAGTAAAACCGGCGCACGAACACAATACGAACGACCGTTAATATTATTGGCCGAAGCTGTGACGTATATTTAGTTTTATGTAATAAATGAATATATTAATACGAAAGGAACATTTTTGCTTAATTTGGTCAAGGTCGTCATAAAAATATCTAATAAATTTATCGAGTTCTTACTTAGATAAGACAATGTTTTTAGGGAAATATTACTTACAAACATTTTAACCAATCGTCTTAAACAACGGAAGTCTTTAAACCAGAGTTTATGTTTGTATAATAGACTAAATTTAATGTTTTATTACCATCATGTATAGCTAATTTACATTGAAATGTATAAAAAAAAACTAGCCGAAGCTAATCAACAGATTCACTTAAAGTAAGCTTAGTAAAATAAAACATTATTAGACGAGCTACACTACAACTACAATTTTAATGCACTCTTGGCAATTTTATTGTATTCATTTTCTTTATTTCCATTTATCATAAAAAAAGATTACTTATTAAATTTGCACGCTGAATTATATTTCTAAACTTCCAGGTATGAATTCTGGACAGACCTTTTTGTATGTGCGGTTGCAGTACCAACATGATATTTCTGTTTTCATGACAGAAGTAATTTAGGCTGCTTACCTTGGGATAAGAGCAATGTAACGCGATGTTGTCCAACGTATGTTTATTTATTTCTCTACTTACGACAATTTAATAAAAATATCAACCAATGCCACTGCGCGTCACTATTTATATTATTTATAAATCTATACTGTGGTTACGTTGTTCTATCAAAATCCGAAAAGTTATCCTCGATTTTTCTCTAATGTTTTTTGACATTAAAACTCTGTTTGTATACGGTACTACCCAAACATTAAAATATAAATTCCCAAATTCTAAAGTTTCCAACACAAAACAATATATATTTATTTCAAATAATATTTAGTGTATAAATAAATTTACAAACACTTATCAGCTAGATAAAGCTAAAGAAATATATGTCCTTTTTCCCATATTATTAAATAATCAGGCCGTGACCAAATTAGAATTAATCTTTACATTTATTGAGTTCAACTAATTAACAGTAATGTCGCGTGTTGTTAGATATACAGTTCTGATCATTAATACCTATAGCGCTTATTGGTAAGGAGCGCATTAATTAACAATATCAATTAAACGCAAGGCATGTTCTCGGAAAGAAACTTAAAATTTATTCCAACCGAGTTCACATGTTATAGTCCGCGATCATACCACAAAAATATACGTACATGATTAGTATAATAAAAAATACGTTATTTTGTAACAAGATTATATTTATCATGACAATATAAGCAAGTGGTTATGTAAATATAAAAATCAAATTGCTCATTATTTAACTTGTCCCAATATAAAGAGGTTACATCAACTCGAGTACCTACTAGCGTACTATACGTGTACGAGTAGTTTCAACTTGTTTCGTTGCTATGCCAGTAACTTTCTAATATAACAGAGGCATAATTAAAAAATACATATTTTTAAATTGACATGTGCGCTTACAAATAAACCGGTTATATAAAATAATATATGGATTTAAACTCACCTTAAAGTATAAATTTTTCGTGTCCCTCCGTGCCGTCAAAATATAATAATCACAAGAGGTTGCACTGTAATAAAATTCTCGTAAACAGTTTTAAGGATACACTTTATTGATTGTGGAACTGAGAGAATTAAACTCGCGCCTCGTGAAGTTGTGAACTCGCCGAAACTTTTCGGAAAAGTTTCGTTTCGCGTCGGATCGTGTTTACGTAGCGCGCAGAGGCGCTGTAGCGAGTAGCGCACGGCGGCTGGGCAGCGCGTACACTGAGCGGCGATGGCGAGTCACTTGCCCCGCGCTTGCGCCAGACCAGTTCTCGGCAGCCTCCCGCCAACCACCTACCAACGATCGCCAACTGTTGGCCATCGACCACCGATCGCCGCAGCCTGCAACCTCCCGGTGCACTACCAACGACCATTAACAATCGGACCACACACGTTCAACCCTCTCCGGCTACTATCAATTTATAAGTTTGACAGCTTGATAAGACTTGACCCCTCTCTCTCATATTGGTTACAATTTAAATAAATTCTACTTTTAACCAGCTTCGCCTCGTATACTGTACGGCGTCAATTATCACCTATATTTCTGAAGTAAATTATGACGCAAATGTCAACAATATTTTCAATGTAATTTTTTTTTCTCCTAAAACCTGTAGTATCTTGTCTTGACACGACTGAGAGTACAGACATTCTTTATCATAAATACACTTGTAAAGTACTCTGAATACTTGTACTTATGTTAGTCACGTAAATTATATAATTTTACGCAATATTTTGTAAAATTGCGAAAACACGTTACCTATTTTGTTCAGTCCATTTAATTTTTTTTACAAATCATTCTAAACAATAAAGATTGATTATATTTGCTTAGTTATAATTTTTTTTCGACACTAATCAAGATATATTTCTGTATGTCACAAGAGAATAGATTTCTTTTAATTCTTAGTAAGTATGAATGAATCTCTAATATCTGATTATTTTATAAGTAATTAATATAATTACATCATCCTTATTACTAGCGACTAATGAAATGAATACGTAAGAAGAGATGTACCCATGTCTTTGTTTTGTTAAGAAGCCACCTAAATAACATGAATGATTTATCGCTATCATAATCACGTCACAATAGTATAATCTAATCTATGTAAATTCCATATTTGTATCTACGAAAATTTATTACATTCATAATATCATTCATTAATAACATGAAAATTTAAGTAACAAATTAATCGAAACTAATCTTATACAATGCCGCAGTGAAATTAGTTTCATTAATTGAGCTTTTAAATAAAAACAATATCTAAAAAATAACTCCCAATGAAGTTGGATGGTTAATATTAATTACCTACATGAAATTCCCGCTCAACTTCATTAGATTTTTTTTAAATTATTTTTTCAGTTATGTTAAGCTTTTTTAAAATACCTTTTATTTTTCGAAAATATTTATATTGGGTCCTTTTTTAAAGTTGGTTTCATTTATAACTTCCATACCGCGTTACCGATTTTAGTAAAATTTTTGCTTACTAATCGAACAAAAAGATTAATTGCGATCCAATAACTAATTTGATGAAATACGTAGACACTTAAACATGCCCCTACAAAATTTAACACATCTGTTTTATTTGTCGAATAAAAATTCGATGTGCCAAATGATTACTTTTTTTTCTAAATTACCCGATACATAAAATTCATTTACCTGTGTTGTCTGTCACCGACTTAAATATCTGTATAAACGAAATCATTCAAAACGTTCCAAAAACTTAATGTGCCGACCAAAAAAAGCTATTAAATTCAATATAATATATTGTCCTAAAAGAAATATTACACAATAAATTTACACACACACACACTGATACTTATTTTTTTTTGTGTTTTTCATACGTGTTTGTTTTTCCTCTCAAATCATAAATTTTCCACATTATTCCGATTTTTTGAGAAAATCTGTCAAGTAAATTATTAGTATATCACTTTACATTTTACAGGACCAAAAAATCTGATTATACATTAATTAAAAAAGCAATGATGACTTGTTTTTATTTCTTTGTTTGTCAGGTAGATTATTAAAGAAAAAGCAATCGGTTGACTGATAAACAGACACAGAATTCCAAATTTTCCTTTCATACTTCATATTTTTTTCACATTATTACGACTTTTGGGGAAAATCTATTTAGTAATCTATTTGTTGCCGACTATGACGACAGTAAAACCTTTTTATATAGTGTTTGTATACTTTTTATACTTTTAATATTTTCTTTTGTTTTATTATGTCATTCATTATACAGAAAAAATATCGAAACCCACGGCTTTTTATTTTAGAATTATTATCACTTAATACTTTACAGATGCAATAAATCAGATTTAATATTCATTAACGTTGAAGATTCTCATCTATTTTATGCATTCTTTGATATCGTTAATTTATCATCAATTCAATGTAGAAAGTTTAGTGATTCATTCATACTTATTTATTTCTTGGTTTAATACCCAAACTATTATTATCGTAAACAGAGATACTTTATTACTATAAGGTGTCCCATAGTAAAATAGAATAATTAAAAGAATTATTACACAGATTTATTTATTGACATTAAAATTATACACGACACATTATTTAAATATGATTTTCCTCTATGAAATTTCTAATATTTAGAAACACCATTATTAATGTGACTGTGAAATATTTTATTCAAAAAGCTTTTCCTTTATAATAGTTAATATTATTTACATTAGAGTGACATATTTTAATTATAATTATATTGCTTTCGATCTTAAAGAAAATGGACCCTTAATGAAACTAAATAGGGATTAAATCGATTTCAATAACAAGGTCGTTTACAATATTTATATTACGCTTAAAAATGTGTAAAATACCAGATCCAATGCCACAATCCATCTTAATCTAACTGTAATGACATCAACAAATTGGTCTAGACCAAGTCATTAAACAGCTATTTTAATAAAGTTACATTAAAAATACATTTTGTCATTTATACCGTTAGGTAATGTGGTCACATTAGATCACTATTTTATATTAAATTATGGTAAAATGTGTCAATAACAGTCCCCGAATATAGTGATAGAAACTATAAAAAAGACAATAGGAATGTTGCTTACAAACGAAAATACAGAAACACGAATTTATTTCACTAATATGTTAATATTTTCCTTAATGAAAAATGTTCAGAAAATCCACTCGGTCCCTGGCACCCTGAAATGGGACTCGAACCCACTAAAACCCACGACCTTTCGCAAAGGTTCGAGTTAATACTTAGGGCGCCAGAGACCAAGTGGATTTTTCGAACATTTTTTATTAAGAACATTTTTCAGTATAGCGTTATTAATGCGAAATTAATCAAATATAATTAATATTATTACCCTTTGAAAACTTGAAAAATGAAATATGGATAATATACTATAAAAATCTGTTATAATACACTTAGTAATAAATTAGCTACATACAATGTAATGTAATAAAAAAAAATGTGTTCATTATGACAACTATAAACATAAACGCACCAGTAACAAAGACATTACAAAGAGTACCTATTTAAAATCGATGCAGTAGTTTTGGAACAAATAAAATAATAATTATAGAGTATAGATTTGTATTAATACAGATTTCACTTAAAAGCACCAAATCAATCTTATAATAAATCAATCTTCATCGACGTATCGTAGTAACTTAAATTATTAAATTATTAATTAGAAAAAAATGTAACAGTTCCATGTGCCCATTGTTTAGAATTACCATTATTAAGCACCCGCGGTTTTGTATATAATACATATTACTATAGCATTGTGAATACAAAATTGTCTAAATGTATGAAATACATTAAATTCTAGGCTAGTTTTTTTTGCAACTAAATAGGCCCCAGAACTACCGAACCGATTGTTAAGAACGCTTTCAGCTGCGGGAAGCTACATCATGTGTAAGCGAATCGCGGGATAACATATAGTGTATAATAAACGAAACATGCGTTAACGGAATGCACAAATGCACGCACCAACAAAGGCTGCGGTTTCGTAATTCACACTTGATACCGAGATTAAGATCATTATCCGACATTATCGATCGACATGATTAACTATACTAAAGTGATAATAGCTTCAATAATAACAGACTATGACGAGATATACGCCAGATCAGAAGTGGCAACTACCTAAGTACAATTATTTATTATACCGTGTAATATGTAGTTACAAGTGCAGGTTCGTACCTGCACTTGTAAGGAAAATAACGGTATTTTTAAATAAAATTATTTATTAATTACATTATAAGAATGTTATTCTTATAACGAAGAAAATACATAAAATGATTTTGTAATTATTTCAAGTCATTAATTTGTTCAGGTTTTGTGCATTTACCTAATTTGATAACTAATAAAGATGTGTACGGTATTGTTTTATTAATTATGACACTCAAATTAAACGTATCAACAAATACATTTAAAGATATATAATACAATCAATAATGTATTTAGTAAAGAGTCCTTTGTTTAACTAATTGAAACACTAAATTAATGAGATGTCGGTATAATAATTTGATAATTATAGCATTTAGATAATTCAAAAATTCAATAAAACATTATAATAACGAGTACTAAGATTGTATTTTTATCTAGTCTTTTGTTTGTTTTTGTATCTATATAAATAATATAAAGAGGTAAAGTAGCAAACTTTATTTGGTTTTTTTGTAGGGGCTACTCTTCGGAAATACCAGATTATGAAAATTCTTTCACCTACGAGAAGCCTTGTGATCGTTATAATCTATAATTTACGCTGGCAAAATCGCGGGAAAATAGAAAAAATAAAAAACATATGGATAACTAGGAAACTATATTCATGCCGTGTAGCATTATTATCCGTTAGGTTCCAGGAATATTTCCATTGAGCTAAGTTCAAGATAGAAAATCTCTATCGCCTGACACTCCCGTTATGAGGTGTAATCATCTCTAAAGTTCCAAGTTTGTTTAAATAAAACCTCCATAAAACATATATATGCTCATTCCCCTCGATACCACCCAGTATGGACTAAATCAAACGGCGCACATAGCCTTTGTTCAGTATATTGACGTTTACCTGTTACGCGGTTAGCTAAATCATTCCGTAATACCTGTACGAACGATTTAATCTTACCAGATTGGATACGTGTCGATTAAACCCTGCAAGACACTAAGTATCACGTATGAAACGACCGTTTTTATTAGAATAACAGTTACTTACAGGATTTCTACCTTGTAACTTATTTATAAATTTTCAAATCCTT